TTTGGCAACTAAGTAAAGTTTTGCAACAAAGAGTGTAAACCTTTAAGCAGTTGCATAGGAAAGCAATAATAGTGAATTCTTTGAAACTTTCTATATAAGTTTACCTTTTACGGTTTATTAAAGCAAGAATAAAATATTAGCAAATTCTGGACAGATTTTTTGACTTGTGACATGATTGCCGGCTCATAAGCTACACGCCACCCCTTTATCTTCTTCCAGTCGATTATCCTAGCCGTCGTTTTACTAGCGGATCTCATCAATTTTCCTACCATCAGTACCATCTTGCATAACCGTCCTAACACGGATAATAAAGTAGAATAAGTATAAAATTGCCAAATGGTAGAACTCTTAGTTTTGCAATAAAAATAAAAACATATAATAGAGAAACGTGGAACATCAATAAACACCTTAAAATCTACTATAAGTGATATACGGTTCCTCGACCTTCAGAGAAGAGAGAAAAAAGAGGTAAATGTAACCAGTTCACACATCCAATCACATTGCAACACACAAACACAAAACCATTTATTAAGTGCACTGAGATCATGAAATTGTTTTGTTATGAAAAGTCAATCGACTGGTTGTCCCAAAATTTGTGCATAGTACACAATTTGATAGCTCAGCCCCTGTCATAGTGAGAAGAAATGATGCAGCACTGGTGCAGGTGCTCAACAAGTGTGTGGCACGATACCAGTACTGTGGTGACAGTGGTGACAGTGGTGGTGACGCGATACTGTAGAATATACAGGTGAGATTAAGTGTTTGCTTCATCTGCTACCTTGGTAGATATCGAAAAACCGGTCTTTTCGCTGTTCAGCGCAGATGAACTGGTGATGCGTACATCTGATGTGGTCTGAAATTAAGAAGAACAATCGATTTATTGATTGAAAGGTAATTGATAGATCATGTGCGTACCCTAATGTCGAACCCGTACTGATTGGATGTGGATATGACATTGTCGAGTGTAGGTGGTACACCGCTTCGAACAGTGATCCCCAGCAAACTCCCACTTATATTTGCGTATGAGAGTTGTGATGGTTCAACGGCTGGAAGTGAAAAAAAAGTTTATAGGGATTATAACAGTATGAATGTTGGTAAACTTAAATCAGCATATAAGGTTTTCTAAGATTCAACTTATCAATTAAACGCCTGTAAACATCTCGGAGGAAAAGTTAGATGTACTGATTTTTTTACGCCATATTTTGTTGAAGACTTGTGGAGAGATATTGGAATTATACGTCAGAAGATATTCAGTTGCTCAAATCTTTGATTTTGAAGCAAAATGATTTATCATTTTGCAATCTTGGAAAAGTTATTTATTAGACTATTGGGGATTTCGAAAAGAAAAAACCTTGAAAAGGAATCAGCATGGTATTGAATGTGATTTATTTGAAAAAATTTGTTTAGAAAGTAATCATGAATTTATTTAAGAAA